AATTCAGTCTGCAGGAACCTGCTCTCATTTTCCAACCAAATCTCTTCCCCTGAGATAGCGCCAGCATGAACAGGAAAAGAGCAGGCCTGTAGAAATCAAAGCATGGCAACGTTCAAGATGAAAAACCCACTGAAAATTACAACACTCATTCTCCTTTCTCGCTCTGCTGCATGAGATAACTTCTAGACGCTTCCAGGTTCAAGGAGAGCAGGTTACAAGACAGAGCCATGATAAATTCTTAACAGAGGCTGTTGGAACAATTTGGCAAAAGCCTAATATAGCAAGGAAACCATGCTAAAACAAGCCCAGCTCCCTAGGCAGACATCATTTTCCATTCTGAAGCATGCTATAAATTCCATTATCATTTAATAAATATTAATAGAGAATTTATAAATGGAGGCCATATAGATCCGTCTGACTTGGAACCGTGTCACCCTGGGGCACTTGTGCAGCAGGGCAGGGGGAGGGAAAGAAGCGAAACTCCAGTTATTTGTAACACAGTGAAACTGAGATGCAGTCTGGCACGGCAAGCACATGAGCCGAGGAAGGAACTCTTGGTTTGAGTATCCCTTGCTGGAGTCTGGGGAAGCCGAAGGGGTGGGCGGATTGAAGGGGATTTTCCTCTGCTTGGGTGTCTCTGCTTCTCTTGGGTGTCTATGATCAGCTGTGTTTAGCATGTGCTTCCGTCTCCAAAACTCAGCAGCACTTCATTGCCTGCAGCACTCTGTCCAAGGGGACCCCATATCCCATCGCTTGCCTTTGCAGTGCGTGCGATGCATGTTAAAGGTTTGCAAGTTAGGAAAAGAGGAAGCTTTGAGGAAGCCACAGGCAACTGCCTCTACGGAAGCCATGGCTGCAGCTGCTAAACATGCCCTAGCCACGGCCGGACTGGTTCTTGCTTTCTGGCTAGCAATTACGTCCTCCGCCATCGGGATCAAGCAGCCAAAAAGGAAAGAACGGGAAGGACAGTGTCAGGGCAACAACCTGTTTTCTTGCAGCACATCTGGGTCCTCCAAGGACCTCCCTCCAAGGTGGAGGACCACCTTGCCCCCCACAATGACGCCAATGCTAACCATACAACTCACCCATCAGGCTCTGCCGCTCCTCCTTCTTCTTTGCCTTCTGCTTGGCCTCCAGCTGGATGATGGAAAGCGGAGGGGGAACGATGGGGCTAGGCATCGCGCTGGCAGCAAACCTGGCTAGCAGGCCCAGGCCACTCTCATCAAGGGCAGGCGATGAAAGCCTGTCGGTGCCGTCGGTCCCATAGTCTTCCACTTCCTCCTCTTCATCCTCCTCTTCCTCCTCCTCTGAGCTAGAATCTAGCACGCAGAAAAGAGGGAGCCCATTACAAATCTCCTGGGGCTGCACGTCAGCCACATTTCCACCCCGAACCGCTTGCTCTCCTGCTGCTCTGGACTCATCCAAAGAGCTCTGAGCCACCCATAAGCCAAGTTACAAGACGTTGGCCATCGACACAAACAAGTCTTTGCAGCCATACAGTTGGTATCACCCTGCCTACCACCACCCTCGAAGCACACAGTGACACAGGGTACGGCAACGAGGACCCATCCAAGGCAAAGGAGGGAAGAGCAGGGTGTTGGCAGAGCTTTGAAAAGGAAGCCAGACACCCTTCCCCGTGGTTTTCAGAAGGAATTAAAAGCTTAACTCCTTTGAAAATCCCAACCTCGGAGCTGTGGGATTCCCCTCCCGCCCACCACCTCTTCCTGCGTAATGAAATCCATTAGTGTAATCAGAATTGGAGATGAGCATGGAAGGGGAATACCAGAGATTGGCCTGTGCCATGGCGGGAGGCAAGGAGGACACAGAGAGGAGAAGGGACAGGAGGCAAAAATGCAAGGAGCAGGGAGAAAAAATAATAATTGAAAGCAATGGATTTGGAATGCATAAAGGGAAAATCGTATCTGCAGATGAAGGGACACAAAGGGAGAGGAATGACATTTCCCAGGGGCAGGCTTTGGCAGGTAGTTGCGGAGCTGGCAACAAGGAGAGCACTTAAACACCCTGCCTCAAAACTCTCAAAGCCTTTTAGCCCCCTCTCTACAGCTCAGGCTAGGAAAACCCAGCTCAGGAAAGGCAGAACAAGCCGCCCACAGCCCAAAGTCTAATTCTGGCAAGGAAATCAGCCTTGCAGCCTGCCTGGGCTGGCGCATGCAGAAAGCAGTGGGCTGGGATTTTCCTTTATGGTGTGCGTAGAGCAGGTAGTTGGGGGGAGATGCTCCAAGAGGGGTGTCTCTCCCTTCCCAAGAGTCTGTCATCAGCTCAGAGGCAATTAATTTTAACAACATCTCATCCAGTTAGTGCTGGTGAGCAAGAATCATTATACAAATGTGTATAGACCACACACATACATATACACACACATATATGAGCACATATACACATATATACACACATATATATTTTTTTTTTAAACTGCAAAAAGTGGGTCTGTAAAATATACTTCAATTTTCTTGAAATTGAAGGCTTAAGTAGGATCATGAAGGATACCAGAAAATTTCCACCGCTAGCAGGAGCACTGCTCTCCCTGCCTGAGCCTACTTGTCAGCTGCCTGCCAGCCGCTATCCTTAAGTCTGAAAGCCGGCCAAATGAGAAATCAGATCCCTTCAAAATGAGCTGGAATGAACATGAAAATCCTTTTCTTTTCACTTGTGCCCTCTGGGATAGATAAAAACGTTCTCGACAGTTGGTTGTCCAAAAAAACACAATAGCACAAGTGTTATTTTTCTGTGACATTAGAAATAACAGGAATATCAAAAAACGGTGTTATCATCCTTGGATTTTACCAACTGAAATAATAGCCAGCTAGTTTTTACTGTTTGTTTGTTTTTACAAGGACAGCTTTTCTCCATAGCATGCATCAGATAATAACAACAAAACACTAATTTTTTTACTGCATAAATATCCCTTCCCCATTTCAGTTACTCGGACTGGTTACTCATGATATAAAAATGCTACTAAACCTACAGTCCTTCAGGAAATACCAAGAAATTCAGCCCTGTTCACTCCTTGCATAAAAATCACGTGCCAAAAAAAAAAAAAACACACACCCAAAAATGGGAGCAAGTTAGGATCAGAGTCCTTCTTCCAACGGACAGGAGAGAAAAGGGGGACACAACTGCTACTTCTCTACCACGTTTTAACAAAATTAGAACTTATCCAGATGATCTCCTCCATTCTGAGACACAGAAACCGCCTGCCTGGAAAGTAGCAAAACCACACGAGTTTGGTGCTACCAGGGCACTGCCACAGCCATCAAACCAGAGGGTGGCCCAGCTAAACCGGCTCTTTTTCACTCCAATGCGGGATGTCTCAGTTTTGCCCGTGTTTCTGCAGGCCATGGCACGACAGCAAAGCTGCCCATCACCACCGCAGTTACAGCCGCCCCCTCGTGCAGCGATTTGGCCAACACCCACAGGGTTTTGAGGCCTCTGCTGCCACTTTCCTGCCAAGTATCTTTTAAGACTAAGCTCCGGGGAGATTTCGGCAAGCCCCAAACTCCCCCTCGCCCTCCGCCGCCGGAGCGCGGGAGGCTGATGCGACTCCGCGCCGTGCCTTCCCCTCGCACGCGTTCAGCCCCGGCACCGGCACGCACAACGCCCTCCAAGCATCTCCTTCGCTTCCAAAACTCAAACCGCTTTCAGGAGAGACCCTGGGCGAGCATCCCCACGCGGCTCGCTCGGCCTCGGCCGGGCCGGCTGTCGGGGAGGCATGGCCGAGCCCGGGGCGGCGTTTCTCCTCCCGCGCCGCGCCGCTGCTCGTCCCCAGCTGCCACCGCGGATTTTGCACGTGCTAGGGCACAAGCGCATCAAACAGCTACAGCACTTCAAATGCACCAAGGTAAAGCGGATTGGAAAACCGCGATGAAAGCGGCTATTACTCACGCTACGGAAAAAAAATATGACACAATAACGCGCCTGGCAGTTATTCTAACCTCTTTCAAATACACGGTGTCACATTATGGAAAGACGCCCGAAGACTGTCTCTCGTCAGCATTTTTACCAAAACGCTTATAATTTTATCTGCATGAGATTCAAGTGTCAGCCTGAAAAACACATTTTAACACGCTCACAGCCTTCACCCACGGAGAGGGCAGCTCTTGCTACCGCTGCTTCACACGCACGGCGCGTCCCTGCTCCTCGTCCCCGATTTTCCACGGGACAAAATCTACCAAATTAAACGGTAAGAACACACCTGGGGCTCGTCTCAGAACCCACACGCTGCTGAACTAGATCCCCAAATTTAAGTTTAGGGTGGAAAATAAGCTCTTATGCTGATCTATAGCCACTTGCACGGCTTCTTGGAGAGACCCGTGATACCTGTATTTAATTTGAAGCACAGGAGACTTACTCCTACTGCACCCAGGCTATGTATGAGCTTAAAATGAAGCATGCACTGATGCTCCATTTTGAAGCCTCAATTTTGTCCTCCTGAAAAGGTGATTTTTGGCTAACAGTGGAGTGAAAAAACATTGAGAAAAGAATTCTTCTGCAATCCTGGCTATATACATGCTGAGCATAGGTAAAAAGAAAAACATTTAAAGTCAAAAATCTCTTATCTAACTGATATTTTAAAGAGCACGTATATGTGTGTATATACCCACACATGCAATCACACCTGTACACACAACTCTATAGCCAAAAATAAAAATTCATGCTTAAATACTACTGATGCCAGATAAACTGGAGCCAACAAAGATTTTATTAATAAAATATTTACCTGCACTAAATTCAGAACAGAAAAGAATCACAAACACTAAACTTTCTCTTTGTTTTTAACAGCTAAGCTGCCATGGGATTTTCCTGGGAGAGCAGTAAATGAAGATTTGTTAATGATGAACAGAAACTGGTTAAGCAATTTGATTTTTAGAGACTGATGTAACACGATGGGATTGCGGAGGGTGTGGAGAGGAAAGGCCTGGGGAGGGGGGGAGAGGAAAGACACACACTTAAAAGATTCATTTCACATTATAAAAAAAATAGCATGATTTTCTCGTAATGCCAAGCAGGCCTACAGCATACAAAGCAGGCTAAGTACAGGCAGACTTTAGACAGCTCTCGGGTCCTTGACATCCGATTTGTTTGATCTGTCCAAATTCTGGAGGTTTTTTCTGCTCAAATTTCCCAATTTAAGTTTTTACCTTTTTTGTCAAACACACCCAATTCTCATCGTTTGACGATTTTTCCCCTATATGTGCTGTGCTGCTGACTCCAGAAGTACTTTTCGTTACCAAAAAAATTAAAAATTTTACAAGAATCACATAGGATCAGTCATGTAAGGAAACGGTTACTTTTCACTGGTTTTACTCAGGGGTAAACCATTCTCCAAGCCAGGGAAGGTGATGTTAATTTTTTGGGAGAAACCAGGAGGAGGCAACATGGGTCTTCAGTCTTGGAAAATCCATGGTATTAACCATCTCGATGGCTTTCAAAGCTCCCATGTGGTTTTGGCCCCCCCAGAGCAGCTTTCTCTCCGAGCTCACTAGGGTGAAACACCACGAGCTTTGTTCGTTATCAGAATGGCTTGCAAGAAAGCAGCGTGCTCCCGCCTCTTCTACCTCAAAACCAGATGAAAACAGCTCTTCCCACAGCTACTGCTACGCCTGACGTAAAGATCGGCATGGCCACAACCTAGCTAAGTACCCTGATACCAAAACAGTCTGCATCGAGGCCCAGCAACCTCCAAGGACAGTGGTAGCACCTCTGCAGGCAATGCCACAGCTTCCCATCTCGGCTCCACCTGTACCCCTTTCCCTTTGCTGGGATGAGGGGTTCTCCAAAAGAAGGTGTGCAAGCAGCAAAGCATTTCTGGAGTCCTCAAGCAAACACACTCAAGCAAATCCTCCATGTGAGATTCTTCACGGACAGAGGAAAATCAAAAGTGGACAGCAATCATCTTCAAAATTAAAATAACCGAGAGGATGCAAAGAGCTACGTGTCATTATTCATGGAGGTAACAGCGAAACATCTGAGGCTGACAGATGACAAAAAGAAAAGTTATTTTGCCTACCTACATAACAATGGTCAAGGTTCGGGTTCATGGCTAGTGACCCTCGCTGAGAAGTGTCTGCCCTACAATCAGCCAACCACTTTGCTTCTTTAGTGCAGCGTGAGAGCAAATGCAAGAGACCGACACAGACATTCAAAGCATCATGGATAGGGGCAGGGGTGAAAGGGTTGGTCAAGCAGCTGCAAGGAGAAAGCGAGCACTTCTAGAAAAGCTGAGGTTATTAATCGGTTTAGTATCAGGGAAAGTCATTAGAAACCCTATTACCCAAATATCCCTTCAAGTAATGCTTCT